AAAAAAAAAAAGCTGCTTGAGCAGCCCCCTCCCACACACTCTGGCTGAAATACGGTTTTATTGAAGCTGCACCTCAAAGACCTAACACCTTTTCTGCAAAGCCAGAAAAGGGGAGACCATCATTGAAACATCTGACTGTCCTGCAATATTTTTATTCAGTACTTTTTAAATGGTTAAGAATTTCACTTATGAATCTTAAGATATTGGAGATTGTCACAATGAATAGGAGTAGCATAAAAATATATATGTATACATATAGTGGTATGCTAATATACCATGTGGCTTCTGCGTGACATTTCTGACATATCTAAAGGAAAGACCTGAAAGAGCATTTTTAACATGTCCTACTCAAAAAGGGAAAACAACTGTGCAGGGAGATAAAAGATAAAGCTAAACTAATCAACCTTTTCCAAGGACAGTAGACTCTATCACTAATAAGTCATTTATTTTGTGTTAAAATGACAGGTTCAAGGAAACATCAAAGGAACTTGCACACACCATCTCAGGAATGCTCAATTTTATAAACATGAGCCTAAAATGGGCTTTCCTTTTTGAGGACTGTTGCCAGAGCAACCAGGAAAGCTACAGTCTTTGAGAGAGAATTCAAAAGGAGGTTAAGGATAAGAGGAGGTAATCAAAGTTTTCTATCAGGAATACAATGTGGCAAGAGTAACACTAAGAATACAAATTGAACAGATAGACAAAGCAGCAACTTCAGAATGACAGGACAAATTACTAACAAGAACGAGCATCTCCCATTCAAATTTCCCCCATTTTTATTCAGATAACTGACATATAACACTGCATTCATTTAAGGTATATAACATAATGACTGGATAGATGAGTATGTTGTAAAATAATTAACACAATACATTTTGTTAACATCCTTCACCTCACAGTTAAACTTTTATCTTGTGATGAAAACTTTGAAGATTGACTCTCCTTGCAATTTCAGTCCCCATTCCAGCTTTCCCTGAAGTACTCTTCCCCACCCCAACCTCCAAAGTAATACTAAAGCCCTCCCCACATGTACTGCCACCTTCAAGGAGAATTAGCAACACCCACATTCCAATACCAACATCTTCCCAGGACTCAAAAAGGGGCCTCCCTGGTGGCTCAGGGGTTAAAGACACAGCACCGTCCAGCTGTGCCCACCCTCTGCAGCATGAGTTCAATCCCCTGCCAGGGAGGTGAGCCACATAGCACAGCAGACCTCTGCTTGTCTCCTCCACTGATCCCCTCAGAAGTGTATTTCAGTAGATCTGCCTGCTCTGCTCCCCACTCTTCCTCTCACCACCCTTGTATGCATAAATAAATCTTAAAAAAAAAAAATAAGTAAAGATGAAACACTCTGTCATCAACAACATCCAATGTTAAGCAAGGTCATAAGTCATCATGAGCCCTAATCCTTATTAAACATGTCCAGAGGCCAGGTCTGGACACCCCATTATACTGTATGGGTATCAGAAAACTAAAGTGGCATTCTAATGGTCTAAGATGATCGATGATAAACAGAAGTGAAAAACAATAAAGTAAAAAAATGTCTATAACAATACCACTGTGTTCATATAAAGATGGACAGAAGAGATGGTTGAAAACCCACAAAATCCTATCCCACACCAGCCAGCAGCAGGAGTGTTCCCATGACTGTTCCTGCAAAGGAACAGTCAACCAAAAGTAATGTCTGTATCTCAATCAGAATCAATCAAAAACTTTGAGTTTTTATGCGTTTATTTTTTCAAATACAGAACATTTAAAGTAAATTTAACAAGATGGATATAAAGCATAGAAGATGGTGCATTTGTATACAACCACCGCCTTCCAAGTTTCTGCTCCAATTCCATGGGAAGCAATCACTTCCTCTACTGTAAATTCCCATCACACTTCACTGATCTCTTCTAGTTTATGTCACAGTTTTTAACTCCCATATTTTCTACCTCAAGTAGATTATATGCACAAAAGTAACATCATGCCTGATTCGTGTATGTAAAACTCCAGACATTCACTCCTTCATCCAACAATATTTACTAAGTACTACTAAGTGTCAGCCACTATACTACAAACTGGCACTACATACATATTATGCAAATTAATGTTGATTGTAAGCAGGAAAAAAATGTTCCCAAAAGAATCCAAATAAATTCACATTATAGTTCCACTAGGGATTACGATGGGAAGCCGCTAACATTCTAGTTAGAGTTTAAACATCATGGGAAACATTTACTACACCCAGGATAGCCACATCAAGAATGAGTCCTGCATAGTTCCTCTGCAGGGCCTACCAAATCTACCCAGTTAATTCCATACAGAGAATTATCAACTTAATCCTAAAAGATTTTGGTAGTTATGATTTTAATATACCACCATCTTAAGTTAGAAAGCCATAAGAAGAAACAGGAGATGAGTCTACCAGTCCATTAAGTTATGGCCGTTTTAAAAGTTCGAACCACCTGTGCAATCTAAGCTTATTAACTACCAGGTAGTTGGGCCTGGGTTTAAAAAAAAAAAAGCATCAGGGCGCTCCAGGAGGTTTCCAAAACTCAAATGAAAGTTTGGCATAGGTGTGTGGGGGATAGGGAGGAGAGAGGACATTTTATTTTATGGAAAAATAACTGCACTGAAACTCAAATGTCAACAACACAAAAACATGTCATAATACAATTTTAGAAAGCTGCTTTTAGTCCCTCCCTGTAGCATCCTGAACGCTGTCAATTTCACTTTTTTAAAAAAGCCCCTAAAGGGGCACCACCACTACCCCCCAAGCATACAAATTCTGAGAAAATGAAAGTGCATCGAAGATAATTTGAAATTTGTTTGTTGTTGTTGTTGTTTTAAGGAACGGGCAGGGATAAGAAAAGTAGGACAAAAAACTAAAACTGATGTGTGCCTTCAAATTCAGAAGCCTCCCAGTTCATTGGCAGGCATTATTTATATTTGAGGCTGTAGCCATTCACAGGTGGTAGGAAGTGTGTGACAACACAAGCTACAACTCCTGACCGGGATCTACAGACTCCCGGCCTTACACCCTGAAGTCCAGGATACAACACGTTCCTGGTGAGCACTGCTGAACGCAATCAATGAGTAAATGCTGTCTAAATGCATGAACACACCTTCACCTAGCTTTCTCTAGCAAGCCCCAAAAAGCGTATTTTTAGGACCCGGGACACCATAAGAGATCTCTAGCCCTGCAGAAAAGACTTTGAGGCGGGGTTCCTCCCTGTAGCCCCACCCCAGAGATAACGAGGGGGAGGAGGGGACTTTGGGGTCCCCTGGAGTGGAGCAATGGGGGAGGCAAGGAGGGAAGAGAAGGATTGCAGGCTGGAACCCAGGTAGCCGTTCTCCCTTCCAAAGCGGTGGTCGAGCCGCTGCCCCGTCCCTGCCTCCTGCCTCCTGCCTCCCTCACCTGATCACCGAGATGAGTAGCCCCGAGGGGTCTTTGCTTTTGCTCACTGTGCCTCTGTATTTCCCACCAGCTGCTTCTGCCGCCATCTTGGTACCGGGCGGGAGGGAGAGCCAGTGGGTTCAGGAACCAGAGCGAATGTACGCTTCCTTGCTGGAAACTCCACCAATGGGAGACGACAAGTCCGGAGACGCGGAACTAGATAACCCAATCGCTGGAAAGCAAAGGCGTAACTAAGGCGGTGAATCCAGGGCTCACGCTGCTCTAAGCACTCTGGGAAACGTAGTTTTCCTTCCTGGTTCCTGGTAGCGCTGCAGAACTGAGCCTTCTTCACCTATGTCTTTACAGTGTCTATTTATGCTATGATGTCTGTGAGCAAAGTTTTTACTCTCAACACAAATGGTAAAAAATAAAACGGGTAAATTAATAGACACAGACATCTTTTTCTTTAGTATTCATTCATTTTTATATGTAAATTCAGTTTATTTAGTGTCCCTTTAGTTCCAGATAATCCTCAAAGACACACCAGTACACGTAAATGAATATTCACATAGAAACGAAAAAAGAAAAAAAGACAGCAAGCTAAATAAAACATAGATCGTAAAATGTCCGTGTTTGCTTTGTTAGTATTTTTACTGGCAAGTTTTCAGATTTCATTCATTGGGCCCTACTTTCCCATAAAATCAGAAAATGAAATGGGCAAGGGAGAGAGTTTAGTAAATGTATGGAAAACGAGTATAGAAACAAGAAAGATAATTGTTGAGAAGGAGGCATTCTGCTTTGTGGCAAAAAATTAAGATCTTCAGAGATTAATAAAAAGCAAGCATGCACAACATCAACTACTTTTATTAAGAAGATAGTGAGTTGGTAGCTTACATTAATTACAAAGTGTGTGTGTGTGTGTGTGTGTGTGTGTAGTATATTTGTAAACTCTAGGGAAATTTGTTCCTAAAGATGCAGGAAAAATATTGAAATTGTAAAAGCGTAGAAGTACTATATTAATTCTAGAACAACTATGTGAGGATATAACACATGGCCACTGGAAATCATAATATTTTGACTTAATAATGAAAATTTTTGTGGTGCAAATATAAAAAGTAGGCTATGCAATTAAATTGCTTGCATATATAGAAAAGTAATTAGATCTAATGACTAAGAATACCGACAGTAGAGGGAGAAACACTTGACTCTCTAGTTTGATGCTTTTGATAAAATCCAACACTTTTCTTGCTGAAAAACTCAGAAAACTAGAACTAGGAGGGAACATTAATATGATAAGGGATTTTTATTTTAAAAACACAGCAAACATCATTCTCACTGGTGAAAACTGAAAGTTTTCATCTCCAATCAGGCATAAGAAAAGGATGCCCACTTCCATTTTATTCAAAAATGTGCTGGAAAGTATAGCCAAGGCATGAAGCAAGAAAAAAAAATAAAAGTCATCCACATTGGAAAGGAAATAGTAAAACTATTTCTATTTGTAGACAACATGATTTTACCTATAAGAAACTCTAAAGAATAAAGAAAAATTACAGCCAAGAAATGAATTCAGCAAGGTTACAGATACAAGATCAAGACAGAAAACAATAGTGGCTCTACACGATGAAAATGAAAATTAGCAAAATAATTTCATTTGCAAAAGTATCAGAAAGAGTGAAATGTTTGGGAATAAATTAGCCAAGAAGGTTAATAGACATATACCCTGAAAACTACAATTGGAAACTGAACAATGGCATTGAGCAGACATGTCTGCAAAGAAGATCTGAAAAGGCCAACATGAACCTGAAATGATAATCAGCATATTCGTCATTAGGGAAATGCAAATCAAAACCACGATGAGATACCATTTCAACACATGCTAGTATGGCTGTACTTTTTTTTTCCTTTTTAATTTATTTATTTGTGCATACAGAACTGGGGTACAGGCCAGAGGTGCAGGGCGGGTGAGAGAATTCACCAAAGACAGAGCCAGGAGCAGAACAGGCAGATCAATGAAGTACACTGCTGAGGGGAGCAGCCATGTGGATCACCTCCGGGGCAGGGATCAAACTCATGTTGAAGTGGCCTCAGCCACCCAGTGCTGTGCTTTAACCTGCTGCACCACCAGGGAGGGCCCGGCTATACTTTTTTTTAAGGAAAAATAAGCAGTGGCAGATAAACTTATGACTTTAGCAGCAACATGGATGAAGCGGGATGGGATCATGCTTAGTGAGATAAGCCATAAAGAAAAGAAAAATACCGGATGGTTTCACTCAGCAGGAGCATAAGGGATTGAGAAAGGAAGGAGGGAAAAAAAGCAATTGTAACGAGGTAAAACTGAACAACCATAAACCAGAGACATTTTAGCCGGGTGGAGAAGGGAATAAGATCAAAACTGGGGTGGGAAGAGTGCACGGGACTAAAGTGACTGCACATGGGGTGAACTGGTGGTGGAAGTCCACGGAGATTACAAGCAAGGTGGAAAAATGTACAAAATGAAGAATGATGTAATAAATAAATAAATAAGTGGTGGCGAGAATGTGAAAAAAATCAGGAAAATGCATTGCTGCTGAGAGTATAAAACAGTTTGGCTTATGGAGAAAACACTTTGGTGGGGCCTCAAAAGCTTTAACGTAAAATAATCGTATCACTCAACAATTCCATTTATAGGACTAAAAGCCCCAAAGAATGAAAACACCTGCTTCAAGAAAGCCTTGCACACAAATATTCACCACAGCACTGCCCACAAGAGCCCAAGGGAAGAAAAAGGCTGAGGTACCCTTCAGCAGAAGGGTGCAGTGTCATATATGACTGAAGGGGAAGCACAGCAAGACATATCCACACAGGTATGAGGAGTGAAGTATCCATGCTTCTACGCCATGGACAAACCTTGACGCTGTACTAAGAAGCCAGACATAAGGGTCACCTTTTGGATTAGTCTCTGAATAGGAAATATCCAGAATAAACAAATTCCTTCAGAGGAATCACTTTGGTCAGGTTAGGGAGTGCCCGGGGCTGAGACAGGTGGGGATGGAGATCGACTGCTCAGCTAGATTGAGGTCTCCTTTTGGCTTTGATCCTAATATGCTAAAACTAGTAGGGAGGGATAGTGAGGAACGATTGTGCGTGTGCATTGAAGGCCATGGAATGATAAACCTCAAAATGGTTAAAGTGGTAACTTTTTTCTTACTAAATTTTTATTAAGTTAACATTGGTTCATAACATTCTGTTTCAGGAATACCGGCATAATTCGACATGTGTATACACTATATCGTTAATTTAATTCATATCAAAAAGTTTGTTTTCTTAAAAATGATTTGATGTTATATGTATTTTGCCACCATAAAAACAGTCAAGAAAACAGGCCATGCAGTGGGATACCTCCTTCAACCCCAGCATTCTACTTTTTGGCTAGGTTACTTCAAGCAGGTAACCTCAATTTCTTCATGCCTCTGTTTTCTATCTGTAAAGCAGATGATAATGCTACTTCCCTGACGGGGTAGTTGTGTGACTATGGGAGATATGTGGGACCAGCACTTAGTAAATAGCAGCTCTGATTACTAAAGAATTGTGCAAATTTGGCTTAAAATACATGCTGGCTGGTGTTATGAAGTTTTGAGGAGCAAGAATAGGGCCAGTTTTTCATTTCTTCTTTACACATGTCCATGTTTCCCACATTTTCTAGGAATGTGTGTTGCTATATAAATAAAAGAAAAATTTTAATAATATGATAGTTTGTTTTTCCATCATTTTGTGTCTTTTCCATCTCAGTTGTAATCCCCGTGGGCTTCCCATCACCAAATCACCCATGTGCCATCACCATAGTCCAGTGCATTTCTCCCGACCTCCATTTTTGAGTTTGTTTGGTTTTTTTTAATGAAGAATTGGATAAGCATCAAACACAACATACTTTAATCACAACGTAAAAACACAATTATGTGATCACTAATCCATACACCCAATTAAACTTGAATCTACTGGACCTGTTTTTGCTTTTCTGTTCCACTTTCTTCACATCCTAACTCAGGAAACCTTACCTGTGGTAACTTCCACCTGCAGGTAACTGACATGTCCTACTTCCACCTGCAGGTAACTGACATGTCCTTTCACATGCTTCTATTCTAGGTGAACTGAATGAATCCAAACTTGGGCCAAATAGCACAATGAAAAAAGAATCAGGGAAAGCTAGGTGGAGCTGACTACTTGTAGCCTTTATGGCTCAATACCAGCTCAGACTACCAAATTCCCTGAAACAAACTAAATTTTACAAACATCCATGAGATTGATTAGAGGCACTTCTGTGTGAAGGCCTGACATGTTACACAGGGAAATAAAAGAAAAGAAAAATAGAAGTGACAATAAACCAAAGCATCTACTCAATGCCCAGAGAAAAAGAGCATAAATGTTGTATATGTTCCAATGGGAATTCAAGGGGACTTAGATGACTAGAGAACTCCTCATGGAACAGGACAGTTATAATTAAGCTGGATCGAAAAAAAAAAAAAAAGTACAGTTAAGTACCTAAACAAGAAGGTATCTAGCTACCTTCTAGCTAGATAAGGGGTAAAATGAAAACATACCTCCTATATTAAAGGATTCATTTGACTAGACTAAAGGGTTCATGCGGAAGAAGTGGTGTCCTGGTGACTTTTTGCATAGAGGTCCACTCAGAAGTGACCTTGATCCCCTCGGCCAGGCATTGAATATGTTTGTTCAATGAATGTGAGAAGCAGTGTATGCTTCAGGTCTTGTTTTATGTTGTCTATTATATTGTAAACCAGGGCAGACTGTGTCTTATTATTACATTTGTAAATATACCCAGAGGCTCTTAAAGCCACGGGAACATCCAATTAAATTAAAATGCTTTGACCTCTTTGGATGAGAGGTTCTATATAAATCCCAGGTATTGATATTCTTATTATTGTGGATAAATGAAATGTGTGAGTGAGGCTAACTCAGCAACAGAATGACTTCCCTGAGACTCATAAAAAAAAATGCCAGGCCTGGGTGACTGCAGGAACCCAGCACAGAACCAGGAGATTTTAAAAACTATATCTCATATTAGCCAAGGGGGTAGAACTCTGGAAAAGGGGAAGTTTCTTATCCCAATCAACATTGCCTG